CCTGGGCTCAAGCGAGTCTCCTGCCTCCGCCTCCCAAGTAGCTGGGACCACAGGCGCCCGCTACAACGCCCGGCTGTTTTTTGGTTGCAGCTGTCATTGTTGTTTGGCGGTCCGGGCTGGGGATTCGAACCCGCCACCTTAGGTGTACGTGGCTGGCGCCTTAGCCGGTTGAGCCAAAGCGCCGAGCCGATTTGACTTCTTGTAAATATATTAAGGCTTGTTTTATAGCCCAGAATATGGTCTGTTTGGGGGACGTGTCCTCAAGCACTTAACAAGACTGTCCCCTGCTTGTCCTCTCTATATTCCCCGCTGTTGCTGGGTGAGGCTCTGCAGGGGTAGTTAAGTCAGGTGGGTCACATCGTCTCTCAGGCCTTTAATGCACTTACTGTGCTTGTCTGTTGTTGCCACCAGTTATTGAGGTGATGGGAAGAATTAGAATTTCTAACTCTGAATTCTTGATTTATTTAGCTTTACTTTGCATTGTATCAGATTTTGCTTTACATTTTGAAGTTATGGTAATGGTATATAAACATTTAGGGCTGTTTTGTCTGCGTGAGGAAGTGGCCTCTATATCACGGGGTCTTCCTTACCCCATATCCTGGTCTTTGCTCTGAGATCTGTTTTGTTTGGTGTTAATATAGCCACCCAGCTTTCTTTTGATTAGTGTTAACAGGTATATCTTTTTCCATCCTTTTATGTGTAACCTATTTTTTTTTTAGAGACACAGTCTTGCTCTGTTGCCTGGACTAGAGTGCAGTGGTGTCATCACAGCTCACAGCAACTGCTGACTCCTGGGCTGAAGCAGTCGTCCTGCCTCAGCCTCCCAAGTAGCTGGGACTGTAGAGCACCCAAAACTTCCCCCAAATGTTGAGAACTGCAGATCCTAGAAGCTCAGTGAGCACCAATCACAGGAAACAAAGACACTCACACTGAGGCACATAATAATCAAATTGCTTAAACCCGTAATAAAGAGAAACATCCTAAGATTGCCCAAAGAAAAAAGATACAGTGCATCCAGAGGAAAGAAGATGAGAGTGATAGTAGCTTTGTTATTATACATAATGAAAGCCAGAACATCTTCACGAAACTAAGAGAAAACAAAAAAAAATTTTGAGACAGATTCTTACTTTGTCACCCTCTGTAGAGTGAAGTGGTGTCACAGCTCACAGTGAAGTGCTGAACCCTTGGGCTCAAGCGATTCTTTTGCCTCAGCTTCTCAAATAGCTGGGACTACAGGCGCCCGCCACAGCGCCCGGCTATTTTTAGAGATGGGGTCTGGCTCTGGCTCAGGCTGGTCTCGAATTCATGACCTCAGGCGATCCACCTACCTTGGCCTCCCAAGTGCTGGGGTGACAGGTGTGAGCCACCACGCCCAGCCAAAAAACAAAAGTCATTTAAAAACCTGTAATTCTGTACCTGTGTTTTTCAAAAGCTAAATAAAGACATTTTGAAATGTAACAAAATCAAAAAGAATTCCTCACCACAGACCTGCAGAGCAACAACTAGTAAAGGAAGCCTTTTGGGAGGAAGGAAATTATAACAGACAGGAGTAGTACTGACACAAAGGATGGACAGCAGGGGATGTCAGGATAGCAACTATTCAGGAGAATGTGATCCTTTTCTCACATCTCTTTAAAATATGAGATGAGGGTAGACAGTGATAAATGAGAGGTATATCCCTGACACAACCACTAAAACAAAGCTACTGCTAATAAACCAACAGCAAAAATGCATCACATAAACTAATTAATGCAAATGAGGGCTGAATTAGCCTGAGAGAACAAAGAGGAACAGACAGGGCAGGTAGGAGACGGGTGGCTAGGTGAGGTGGTGCTTGAAGCGTGACCCGCCGTGCGTCTTAGACTGGAGCCCCTCATTTAACTGGGTGTATTAATTTTAGGTTATTTATTAAAACTAAGTAAACTTAGTTGGATTTTTTTTGTTGTTAGCTGTTTGTCCCAAAAGCTGTTTGTTTTTTTTGTTGTTGTTGTTTGTTTTTTGAGACAGAGCCTCAAGGTGTCCCCCTGGGTAGAGTGCC